GCAGCTCATGTAACATATTATCGGTAAGTTGTTTGCTTTTAAAATTTAATTGTGATTTTTGCTGTGTCAGGAATTTATATGTGATAAAGGGATTGGTTTCGTCCGCATTGATGGGACGACATTGCCAAGAGATAGACAACTGGCTGTACAGTCCTTCCAGTATTCTAGTGACGTATGCACAGTATCTCCTTGAAGTCTATTATCTTTGTAAATGATTATGCTTGTTAGGATGTGTGGTGTGTGACCTTGCTATGGATTTCTCCTCCAGGTGAAAGTTGCAATAATTGGCGTAGAAGCTGGGGGAGTTGGACTTGACTTCTCAGCAGCGCAAAATGTTGTGTTCTTGGAATTGCCGAAAACACCATCACTGATGCTTCAGGTATTTTTTTCTGTACTGATTTTTGTACTCTTAACTTCACTCGTTCCTAAACCTTTTCTGCAAAATGTGCTAAGGCTGTTTGATGCTTTGATGCATAATCAATTGATTACATTTTGAAGGCTGAGGATAGAGCACATAGGAGAGGCCAAACAAGTGCAGTCAATGTATATATCTTCTGCGCAAAGGTAAACTTGTTTGCTGCAGGCATATTAATATCTTGAAGTTTGTCTCGTTCCTTATACTTGGATACTCTTATGTAACAGGATACGATGGATGAGTCAAATTGGCAAAATCTGAACAAGAAGTTGCACCGTATTTCATCTACCACTGATGGAAAATATGATGCGAAGACTGAAATCGAAGTACCTCCCTAATCTCTGCTCTTTTTCTCTATTCTCAGTAAATCATTGTCCTTCTGCTTTGATGTTCACACCACATAGAGTTTTATTCATATCGCATAGGCTCTATTTTGTTCCTGGTAGGGCACTTGACAGCCATTACTTTGTATGATAAACTTTTATGTCTGGGCAGATTGAAGGAGCATATCTTTTCAAGCCTGCTGAAGAAAGTAGTGAACGAGAAGCTCATGAAGTGCAAACATCAAAAGCTACTAGTGTAGTAGCTGATAAGATTCTTGAAAGCTGTGAAGATCTGGGATATGAGATGGATGTATCAGATACTATTGATGATCTCAAGGTTTATCCCTCGCCTTCTCATTGATCAAACAGTTTGGACATTTATGATCTTTCTTATACCATGAAGTTGGCAAGCCAAATGTCTGAATGAAATATGATTGGCAGAAGTTTTTCACAGTTTACAAACTTGTCTACTCGATTATGGAACTCAGATATTCACTCGTTTTGGCTGAATGCTTTTTTTTTTTTGGCTTGAGCAGGACAATATGATTCCTCATTTGGAAATATTAAAAGTATGTCCTCTTATTGAAAATTGTTCCGGGTCTGAGGAGAGGTCTTCTGACACCATATTAGACCAGGAAAACCAAGTTAATCATCATCCTAAAAAGGTATATGAACTTAAATCTTATAAAAGGTCTACTTTTTCTTCTTCGGAAAATCCTAGAATGTGAATAAATTTTTTATGGTGCAGCTTATCGCTGAAGATATGCATTTGAAAGAGGATGATTCGAATTCCTTTTCCCCTCTCGTAGATTCTCTACGATTTGAGGTAAAGTTTAAAATCTGCATGGACTCTTCTTATTTTATCCATTATTCTAGTTGTCTTTTGTTTGGAAAAGAGTATTATTTGTGTTGCGTTAGTCATGAAGTATACATTTTTGTCAATGAGGCCAAATTTGGTGACCACGCTTCATACTTTCTGATCTCTTGAGTTTTAAAGTCTACTTGGTCCAAGCGGCAATCTGATGCTGAATTCTATTGTGAAACTTGTCGAAATGATTATCTTTACTTGTTTGGAGCTGAAACCGCATTTGGATCGACTCCTACATTCTTTCAGGTGAGCCAAAACACTGGAAGAATTCATTTATATTCTTGCATTCCTGGGAAAGATCCACGACCAAGGCCTCATTTCCAGAACTTCAGACCAGAGGAGATTGAAGCAAGCAATTCAATTCCAGTTATCAATAAAGAAAAAACGTCTGAATCAATTATGGAACATCCGGATTATGTACATGCTATTTTAGAATTTATGAAAGAGTGGAAATCATTACGGCCAATCGAAAAGCGGAAACTACTTGGAAAGCCTTTGCAACTACCTCTATCACTGGAGTTAAGTTACTTGAGTGAAAGTACTAGTCATAACAGCGAGGTACATCACTTAGCTAAAAAATCATTTGCCAAATATTTGTTCCAAAATCATAATTGAGTTTTCTGCATCAGGGATTGCTCAGGGGAGGGAGCAAAAGACGAAAGACACCATTTTCTGAGATCAGTATTCCTTTACCTCCAAATTCAGTGTGGAAAAAGGTCAACCTTCGAAGTGGCTACCAAAAAAAGGAAAAAGAATACACCCAAGCTTGGAGTACGAGCAACGAACCACTCTGTAAACTCTGTCAAAAGCCCTGCAAGTGAGTGAAAGCATGGTGTATTCTTTACTACTGATTGATAGTTTTTGTTCACTGTTTTATCATAAGCTTTCTATTTTTTGTTTGTTATAGGGGAAACAACGCCAAAGAGCCTGAGTATTTTGAGGATCTTTTCTGTGATCTTGCATGCTATGAAGATTACCGAACAAGAACAAGTAGCAGATATATTCGCCAGGTTTGCCTTGGTCATTTTTTCATTACGTTACTGCGAATGGGTTTTGATTAACCAAGTTTCATATCATTTGTTTCTTTAATGCATCAATAAGAGGTGTAAGTTTTCAAATCTCAGGAACTTTTTCAGATAGAACATGGGATTTGCTCAAACTGCAACTTAGATTGCCACCAACTTGTTACACGAATAAGGCCTTTACCGCTGGAAAAACGCCGTAAATACATAAATAAAGTTGCGCCAGAATTGTTTGCCCGGAAGAACTTGTAAGCCATTGTGTTCATATTTCTATTTGAATATCAATTGATGACCTTTAATTACTGCATTTGATCATAAAAATTCTTGGAAATTCATTTTCTTTCTCTTACCTCTAATGTAATGTCCAAGGCTCGAAACCCTGGTTAATGATCCAAATGAGGGAAATGCGTGGCATGCAGATCATATCATTCCAGTTTACCGAGGTGGAGGTAAGTCGCAATCTTTTACACTAGACCACTCGGTAAACATCATTCTTAACAATGGCACATACATACATGATTTCATATCCGCGTTCAACTGACTGAACAAGTTTTCTTGAAATTTGGATCACTCATAGGCGAGTGCCGGCTAGAGAACATGAGGACGCTTTGTGTGGCTTGTCATGCCGATGTCACTGCAGGTCAATGCACAGAACGTAAACTGATACGGTCCAAAGCCAGGAAGCAACTGAAAAACACATTAAACGAACTCAGAAACAATCCAAACCAAACAAATCTCTTAGCTGACAACACAAAGGTATGTATGATTACGAGACATTCTCATTTGAAATGAGGAGACCTTTACAATACATTACAAGACTCGTTGTAACGTCTACTCGCATTAGTCTTATAATAGATCCATTATACTTTTGGTCTATTTGTCTTCCAGGAAGCTGATTGTTCGGTTTCAGCAATCGATGAAGAGGAAGACGAGCTTCTGATCGAAGTTCCAGGCAGTGCCTACTCCATAGATCAGAAAACCAGTCATGCCGAAACCCATACATCTCCCTGTCGGGATGTGGTTTCGCTAAAAACTCCTCCCAAACAGACTCAAACTAAGTCTCCTAGATTCACTAGACCTATAATCGCCACTAACTCAATAACCACTTGATTTGTTGTATACAAACCCTATATTTTGAGGAGAGAATTCATCATCATTGATTTAGAAGAATCAGAAAAAAAGATTTGTATAAACTCCACAAAGAGACTGATTTACGTATTTTCAAGTGTTATATAGTCAAGAGCAAAAGCCTCGGTCTTGGTATCAATAAATTTGGTCTACTCATTTCTTTAAGAATGTCTTGTAAATATTGTTGAGAAGAAGATTAATAATAACAGACCACATAGTTTAATTTAGGAACGAACAATATTAATATTGTAATTTCCTTTTCCCAAATAGTTTATTTACATTGTTTGTAAACCACATATCTATAGTTTTTTACTTTGTAATTGTACTATCCGTTAATACAATTACAAACAATATAAATAACATAATTAACGGATAGTTTTTTACATGGTTTTACTTTGTAATTTTCAATAATTAACTTATATTATGTATACATGTTGATAATCCTTCTCTGCAAAGCAACCGAAAGAACAACAAAAAATAAGTTAATTATTGAAAATATACTCACACTTCTTCTTTCTGGTATATATAAATAAAATAAACTGTTATGTAATTAACAAGCAAGGATGTACCAATGGACGAAAATCAGAGATACTGAGGAAATAGAGGGTGAAACTTGACCCATTCCTACTCTATAATAAAGAGTGGATCCGATGCTATATTTGTACGTATTTTTTTTATTACAAAAATATGAAGTAAGTAATAAAAATAGGATATTCATGGTAATCTTAAATTGTTCCATGAATTTTCAACAATACTTAAAATGTCAATCGCTACTTATCGGATGTTCAACTTCAAGGTGAAATTGAATAGAATTATCTATCTTTTATTCCTTATATAATTTTAATTCAATTGCTAAAAATATATACACGATAAAACATCCGCCTGATTGTGTTTTCAAAGAAAACCTACATATTTTTAATTATTTTTACATCTATTGTATTCATTTTTATACGTAACTCATGAACTCCCCAATTTGTTGCATGGAGATAAAGTGTTTCTCCATTTCTTTTCTTTTTTTTCGTGAGATAAAGAAAATGGATCAAATCTGAGTTTGGTTTTTTGATTCTGGTTAAAAGTTTGGTTTTAAAGTTGATGAGGAGGTTATGTAGTTGTAGGATGGGATCATAAGAGCCCAATGAAATAATTGTCGATGTTCCCTTGCCTTTAAGACTTGCTCTTTCTAAATATGTGGGGGTCCATTTCAGTCTTCCTCTCCCAATTTCAATAATTTGGT